TGCCTTGGATATCTCTTAGGAATGAGGTGGCAGCTCCCAAATGCCAGAAGAGAGAAGCCTTTTGCTCAGCCCACCAGACATGGTCCTGGTACTGAGGCTTTTCAGCCCCAGGGAAACCTCACTGGAGTGGTGCAACTTCCAGACTACATACATCTTGCCCGAAAAAACCTCTTCCCTGAGCTTCACACGCTCAGTTAGGATCTGCAGCGCCCACCTCCCTCCCAACAGGCCCAAGCACCCTGTTTGTTATTCACAATCTGGGGTGGAGACACTTACTAAAGCGGAAATTGTAGAACACGGGGGATCACATCAAAAAGCAAATTGAGAACTGAGACATCTGAATTTGCCATGTTTGCAGGTTCCACCTTTCCCTGAGGTTAAGGAAGTGGCAGAGGAGGATTTGCTTGTGTGCATTTCAAAGAGACATTAGCATTTCTCCTGCAAACTGCCCCAGCACCAGCATCATCTACGCTCACGTCACGTAGTAACAGGGAGCAGGAACAGAACACCCTAACAGGTGCTGCTGAACATGCCCCAGTGTGGCTTTTCAGCCCGTTTCTTGAATATCAAGATACTGACCACCCTCAAAACATAGGAATCCTTTCCAGAGCTGCAAAGCTTCAAAATTCACTTTCACTTACAGTTAGTCATTAGGGAGAAACAGCAGTCAGATTTTCTGTGAACGGAACCAGTGTAAATTTTAAGGCACCAACTTGAAACGGCTCACGTTCGACTCAAAATCTTGGAGTTGAATCATATTTGCGCAGAAAATAAGCTCAGTTTGCGACTGGGAAGAAGAGGAAGAGGAGAGAGGACAAGGAAAAATCTGCAGACACAGCAAACTCGGACACCCCAGTTCTGAACGTGTATTTTGACACGATCTACAACGTCTGCCGTAACAAGCAAGTTCCTCCACCTCCCATAGAGCAAATTGTGCATCTGCCCACTACTCCTGAGGTGTCAACTGCAGATCAGAACTGGCCTAGTAAAGCTTAAGCTTGTTGTTACTCATAGTTTGGGCAAGATACCCACAGTTCCCAATCACAGTAGCAAAATGACCCCAGCAAGAGGCAGTTACAGAGAATTTAGCTTGCCTACAGACTGACCGGCTGGGAAAAAAAAAAAAAAAAGTCCATTTGTAGGACTGAGAGTAGGACATTTGCTTCATTTTGTAATTTTATATCTGAATTATGTTATTATTGTATCTCTGAGGGTTTGATGGGGCTAGATAAGGGGATGGCTTGTTTGGATCTCAAAGCAATCAAACGTAATTGAATAGATTAAGCTTATTCCAGTTCCAGCGATAATGTTCAGGAAATACTCCTGGCATTAACAGCTATCTGACCTGCCCTATGCCTTAAAGAGTTTGGTTGGTGGTTGGGGAGGGGGGCGGGGGGCAGGTGTCTCTGGTGATTTAGGTTGTTTCTTTTGCTCTGTGAACTCTGAGATAACAGGGTTTTTAACTGCAATGCTAAAGTTTAACACCATCAGAATCGGGCCATGAACGTCACTTATTTCAGCCAAATCCCCAGAAAGATCTGAATTGTCTTTCATTAAAAACAAACTCCACACATACCCCAGAGGGGTCCGTCGCTGATGAAATTCACAGCAGCGGCCAAGAAGCCTGTGGAGCAGTGAGAACATCACACTTATTATCTCATACATGAGCTGGACCTGGCTAATTTTAGACAGGAGAGATGGGAACAGCAAAGAAGCAGCCGCTGGAGCCGTTAGGAAAGCGTACAGCCAGCACTCCCCACAGCCTGGGTTTGCTGAGGTCCGGTCCTGTGCAAACAGGAATTAAGCCAGGTTCAGCTCGGTCAGGGGTATGGATACCCACCACGTGGTTATTTACTGGCATGCATCCCCCAAGAGCTACACATAGGCAGAAGGTGACCTCTCTTTCTGCTCATGGTGTAGATGCTTAGAGAGATGCACATTTCAGCAACAAAGTTGAGCTGACCCCTCCATTCCACAGAATGTCACTCCAAAAGTATCAGAAATGCCTGGCAATCGTGGGCCTGTCTAATTATGGCATTAAAATATTTTGGTGCAGGTGTTAATGAACTCTCATTTTAATCAAAGGCCACTTTAGCTCCATTAGGAGGTCATATCGGGCAAAATGTGATTTTTGAACACTTGAGAAAGTAGCTGTTTGCAGCTGAAGGGAGCAGCACTGCAGGGGTGATCCACGCAATCCAGGACCAGCACAAGCTGGCAGCCTGTCCCAAGACTCGATCTGTTCCTCCAGACATGCTCTAGCAACATGGGTCTGTACCTCCGACCCTTTCCAGAGTCCTCACTCGAATATTTCGAGCCGGGTAATTTTCCTAGCCAGGGGTCTCAGGGAATGAGAGCTGTCGAACTGGAATGGCATGTCTCACCCGCCCCCGCCACACACGCTCTCCTCGATGCGATCTGCATATCTGCCTCCAGCTTTCCAGACTCAGCAGAGTAGGCAAAGCCAACATGGTGTCCCTGCGGTTCCACACGGCCTGCCTACGGCCCGGTGCCAAAGGCAGAGGGACCTGGGTTGCCTGCTAATTCCTTCTGAAGGAACACAGCTCCAGCAGAGGAACCCAGGCAGCAAGAAGTCTGGGCAATATCTACTTGAACACACTGTTTAAGTTTAGATGTTTAATTTCTCTGTGCTGTCACACTCAAGTTCAACAGTTCCTACCTGAAACACAACCAAGCTGAATTATAACCAATCTTCCAATCATCTGGTTGGAGGAGACCCTCAAGATCATCGAGTCCAACCATTCAGCTTGCACTGTCAGGGTCCCTAAACCACGTTCCTCAACACCAAATCCACACGGTTTTTAAACACCTCCAGGGATGGGGACTCCACCACCTCCCTGGGTAGCCTGTTCCAATACTTCACAACCCTCTCTGGAAAGAAATTTTTCCCGATATCTAACCTAAATTTCCCCCGGTGTAACTTGAGGTCGTTCCCTCTCATCCTGTCATTCATAATGTGGAAGAAGAGACCGACCCCCATCTCCCTGCACCTTCCTTTCAGGTGACTGTAGAGTGATAAGGTGTCCCCCCCCCCGAGCCTCCTCTTCTCCAGACTTAACAGTCCCAGCTCCCTCAGCCGCTCCTCGTAGGACAAGTTCTCTAAACCCTTCACTAGGGTGAAGCAGAGGGGAAGGGAGGGAAGAAGGGGGGAAAAAAAAATCTCAACTCCACAGCTTGCTTCTTCCATCAGCTACCAGCACACGCATTTGCTGATCTTCAGGTCGTGCTACACAACTAGTATTTTACTGTGAGATCCACTGCTGCTTCCTCTTGCCACAACTATCTTCCCAAAGCTAATTTCCAACTCTGAAAGACTTCTACAGTGAGACATTCTCTTCTCACGCATTCCTATCGCGTGCATCCACAATGTGCACGTGACAAATGTAACGGGTGGAGGTCACCAGCAATCAGATTAACTAAAAGCCCGTTACACTGGGACTTTGTTCTGTACCAATGTAAATTTGCAAAGAACTCTTAAACAAAATACCTACAGTAAAGCCACCTCTGAAGAGAAAGCCGATTCCAAGCCACAAAAATGACAACTTCATCACTTTCCCGTAGTTTGTGCTATTACCCCAAAACCTCCCAGCAGGCACACTTGTCAGCGGTACCTCCTGAGGACTTCGCATTCGATCCACGTTATCAAACAGCCAAACACACAAACGCCCAAGTGCTGTACCTTTAGGAGATGGTGCCTCAGAAGCTGCCTCTTGGTGGGAGCGCAGAGCAGTGGGCTCTGTATGGCCCTCAGCAGGTTCTGAGGACAGCGGTCCAACCTCCAGTTCCTCTTCGATGGATTCCAGTGGTTTTAAGGCTATAGTCTTTGGCTTTTCCCCGTAAGAAAAACCTCCGCGGTTCTCCTCCCCTCCCTGGGACTCCCGTACCGCAACACGCTCTGGGTTCAGCACAGAGTTCTCTTCACTTTTACAGCCCTGGTTTTCTGCTTGTCTTTGTGGTTCCTCACACCTCTCTCCAGATCTGAGGGTTCTGAACTGACTTGAGCCTTCTGCTTGTGCATCAGGGCCCGAAGAGTCACTGTTATTTAATTGTTCTGCCGTCTGATCACCCTCTGCTGACACAGCACTTTGGAGTAGTACGGCTTCTTCAGCTTTCTTGTGCTGACATGCAGAGACCTCTTGCTCTTCACCCTCTGACAAGAGTCCATCTGTAGGAGCTCTGACAGAACAGTGACTATGACTACTCTGATTCTCATTTACAGTCAATATTTGTTCAATCTCTTTGACTTCCTCAGGGTTGTCCCTTCTTCCCAGCTCAAATTCATCTACTCCTTGGTTCTGTTCTGGAGGATTTAACGGAGAACTCAGATTTGCTTCCTGATCATCGCAGCAAGTGCCAACTGCTCCTACATCTGCCACGTTCCCTGAAGGAGAGCCTCTCTCCACACCTACATCTGAACTCTCAGGCGTGATAAGCAATGTGGTGGCCTGGACTGGTGCAACACTTTCACTGATGCTCTGACAAGAAACATCAGAACCTTCTTTCAGTGTGCAATGTGGTCCCGAAGGTCCCAGGACAGACACAGGAGAGGGATCCATCTGTGTCACCTCATTTTGACCCTCGGTCAGTGGTTCTCCATGTCCTCTCAGTACCTCTTCTTTAGCAGGAGCAGCAGCAGCATCTAGAACTGTTTCTGGGCTCTGCTCTGATGTTTCAACACCAGGATTTCTGCTAGGACCATCACTTTCTCCTTCCATGTTTCCAGGAGCACCAGGCATTTGTGCTTTGCAGTTGACACCATCGCCAGCACACAGGTCGCTGTAGCTGCACAGTGCATATTGCCAATCGATCGAGTGTTCGCTACAGGTCTCCTGCTCTGCAGGTGAATCTTCTACACTGCAGGCAGGAGACTCAGCCACAGGAAAGCTGTTCCCCATGTTTCCAGGACCACCTGATATCAGTTGACCTTCTGGAGACAGTTCTCCATGCACCATCACTTCATTGCTTTCCAATGGAATTACATTTTTGAGAACTTCTGTAGAAGAAGTCTTCAGAGTGTCCATTTGACAGTGCTCCTTCTGCATAAGTGCTGACTGAACGAAGTTCTTGGAGTAGGTGCTGTCTTGAATGACAATAAACCTGTGCTTGCCTTTAGACACATTCACTCGTGTTCTGGGCTGAGTTAGATAATTTAAAGCTAGTGATTGGGTTAAAGAGCCTGTTTGTGGTCCAAACCTGGGCAGTGAAACTTCTGTCAACTCAACGTACTCCCCTTCAAGGTCACTTTTCAAGTTCTCTTGAGGCACGGGACTTGTACACACACCATTGACAAGAGCTTCACTCGACTGCGGAGCTGTGCTGCTGCTGACGAGGTTGTCTCGATTTGGACTTTGTTCCTGTAGATACTGAGATGCTAGGTCTGGTGAATTGCACTCAGCATGGTCCATGGGGAGGCACAAAATTGAAGGTTCCTCTGTTATTTCTGGAGAGATGATATCGTTCTCAATTATTTTTGGTTTATTTATAAATTCAGGATTAACCACTTTGTCCCAGGGGACACGAAATATTTTATCATCAGTGGTTAGTAAACAATTTTCCAGTGCTATACCCATCCGCTCTCCATTGATAGTACTCAACCATTCCAGAGTAAAAATAGAGGTATAGGAAACTTCTGGAATCACGACTTCCTCTACATTATGCTTGTCTTTCGCCAAACATTTCAATACAATTCGTGGAGACTTCTTGAGATAGGGGACCACCTGCAGGTAGAAGTCACCAGGCTTCAAGATTCGCCAGTCAACGGAAGCCAACTGGACTACAATCTTCTCGTGAATACACAGGGGCCAGCCCTCATGGCGAAACAGCAAGCCACAGTACTGAACCTACGGAGAAAAGAGAAAGTGTTTTCAGCATCAGGAACAAACCTCAGCTCAAGCTTTTGGACAGGAGATCAAGGCCAGTCTTTCACAGCAGTAGCAATAGAACAGTTGAATTTACGGTCTTTGGTTATTAGCGTAGGAAAGTTTTCCATACTGAGGTCTTCTCTTTGAAAAGCAGAAACAAGAAAAGCTACCAACGCAGATCACCAGCAACTCAGGATCTGATTACGAACCAACCGGTGTCAGCCCTGCTTTAAAGCTGAGTCAGCACAGACAGGCAGAGGTCTAAGCCCCAGAACTCCAGGGCAGAGAAATCAGAAGTTCTCACCTTCCAGTTCTCAAGCTGGGAGACCCTAATTTCTGACTTATTAGGACCAACTGGACTAAGATGAAAATTCTGACCATAGAGCATCCCTGACCAAGTGCCATTAGAGAAGTGCAGGCAGACAGCGGTCTGCTTACAGCGCTCAGACAAACCCCACTGATGACCATCCACAGCCTCAACAGAGAAGACAGCCAAACACACATCATTTCCAGAGCACCCACAGCAAGCTCTAGGTTGTATCAGGTACACTTGACACCAACCTGCCGGAAGGAGGCTGTAGATGCGGAAACCTCATTGCACAGGATGCTGCCAGTCAGCCTGGCACCACAAAACTTTTGCCTTTTGAAGCAGTGTTGGGTCTTTAGACTGAGGTCTGCTGGAAGGGAGGTAACGAAGAGCTTTGCTGATGAGGGAAGGTAGAATAAAACACCAAGATCTGTTTGAGGACTTGTTTTTATTCCCTAATGTGTTCTGCTGGAGTATGCAGCATGTCCCATGCGATTCTGGTTAAGCCAAATCGAAGAGCATGGAGCCAGGTAAAAAGCATCATTCAACCAGTGCTATCAAAGGCCTATACAAGACAGGTGGAGACACGCCACATGGGATGCAGCAGCAAGGGATGGTTGCAACCTACCAGCAAATGGAAGGAGACACTGCTAAGACACGGCAGGAGAAAGGAGGCAGCAAACGAGGAAGGCATAGCAGGACCACAGAGAAAGAAGGCAGCAAGTCCCATCAGCAAGCTGCGAGGAACTACACTTAATCTCCTCATTCCCAAAACATAGCAGCACTTAGGACAAGTCTCGGACAAATCCCAACCAAGTAAAAGAACTGAAGTTTCATGGCTGAACTAACTTGACTCAATTATTTCCAGCTTTATCACAACTTCAAAAAATATAATCACTGCTTTGAACTTGATTCTGTTTGGATAAAGTAAGATTTCGATTGAGCCATGACATAAGCCATCAGCTTCATGATTGCTTTCATCTTTCTCCGTCACAACAAGGGGTTAGATAGGATTCACCTGTATTGGATGCAACACATCCATTAGAAAGCTGCCATCTGGAAGCCTAAAGACTTTAGCATCGGCAGCATTAGACTTCAGACATTTTATTTTGTTTCTTTTACATGGTCCCATGGAAGTCTTGACAGAGAAAGCAATTTCTAAACATGCTATATTCTGCAGGCCAGATGGATGAAAGAAAAAAATACACTTTAATTCAAGTTTTTTGCCATATAGCAGAGAAACCACAGAACTGGAAGGAAACCCCTGGATCCTCACACCTTGAAACAATAAGTAATAACATTAAGTAAGTTTCTTCCTATGTTCATCAAGCTTTACCTCCAGCCCAGCCAGGTTTCCTATCCCTACTGCACCTGATGCAAAGTCGCTCAGAGGCTTGAAAGCCCAAAACATCCTTCAGATTCAGTAACTCCTCCTCCTCCTCAACCCTGGAGCTTATTCTCTGGATGTGTTCCCATTGCTTAAAATTATTATGCCATGTCACGTCACCTTAACACATCTCCCCTGATCATCTCTTGGGCCTGCCTGAAGTACCTCCTCGATGATGCCCTTTTTTAAAAAACAAAACCAACAACACACAACACATTTATTTGTTCCACTTTTTCATTGTGCAAAGCACTGCAAAACACTGCATTAAATGGCACCAACACTTCCCAGCTGTGCTAGAAGCATCTCTTAAAGCCGAGATCACACTTGTCTTCCAGTCGTGCCCCTACAGTAACCCAGTCACCTGTCGGTTTTTCATTTCAAACTGATGAACCCCAGTTTACAAGAGAAATTCTGCCTGTTGCTTTGCCAAGGCACGTGCTTGCCCTCTGAATCTACTGCTACAAAAACTTCAGTTCAAAGTTTTAGAGCTCACCTTGTGTAATATACTTATCACCCTCCTCCTCCTCCTTTATGTTATTGCTCATGTCTCCCACACTGGTTTCATCACAAATATCTGTCATCTGCATACTCTTACTTTTTATGCCGAGGTCACGGATGAGAAGTAATGCGTGTCTCATGACTCCTGTCTCCAACTCAGTTTTCACTGCAGTACAAGCACCCTCCCTTTCACCAGTTTGCTACTCATCTTGCAATACTTGCATAAACCTCCATCCCTTTGACACATTTAATTAATTTTCCACATGACTCCATCATAAATCCTTTATGGAAGAGATGAGACAACGAAACTTTTCTCTCTGGAGAGAGCTGCTTTACAAAAAAGGCTGGTCTTACACTACCTGCTATGGAGCAAACCACAGGAAAAAACGTTATCCAGTTTTTAATGAGTCAGGTAATTCAGTCCTTGCTCAGTGCATGGTGTTGTATGCTCAGCTTATTCTCTGTGTTTTGGTACTAGCCCTGACTTAACAGATTCAATACAAAGCCCTGTTATCAGACACTGAGCATGACATGGTAACTTCTTCCATATTCCAGGATGGAGACCAGCCAGTCCCTTTTCTTCAACAGCCCATTCCATATCCATTTCAGTCACAGCAGTTTTATTTCTGTTCACTCAGTGCAACTGCCTTACTCTTGTATCTACATGCTGTATCACTACTAAACTGAATCTTACTTTAGCTGTCATTTGTCTTAAGCACCATATTAATATTACCTTTGTATTCTAACCTTGAACTCAGAGCAACTGCCCTCTCCCTTTCTTTAATAATTTAGAATTTAAAAAGCCTAAAATCTTACACAGTTCCCTCAAAGGCACAGGGAGCTAAGCTTTGTGGTCTTGTGTTCTTATGCTTTCTGATGCCTCTACGTCAACTATTCCCTTTCTTGCAGAGCAGGGCTGGAATCAGCAAAAAACAAGACCGCCTTTACGACACAGTTTGCAGAAGTTGCTACTGGCTTCAGCAAGTCTCAGGCCATACGTATTTCACTGACTTTTCCATCAAGCTCAAGTCTCACACAGCATCTCGGTCAACACAGCTTGTATCTCTTGCAGTAAGTGTCCGAGCCAAATATTTTATACACAAGGTTTTAAACAAAAACAAGGTGCTTTTTTCCAAAAGAGACTATACAGTTGCACCCTACACCAGACCACATCAATCCTTCTTCTGCCATTAGAATATTTCCTAGTAGGTACACTAAGACCATCTGTACCTAAGGGCCTTTTAGGGGGAAGAAGAGGCAGACAATAAAAAAATATCAGTTACAAACTACTACAAATAGTTTATATGGCTGAAAAGTGAGAGACACCATCAGCAGTAGCATAAACACAAAGCTGAATTCCATCTGCACCTACCTGACACAGAGTTTCTATTAAAACCTGGATGTGGAGTTTATACATTAAGAAATCCCAAACCCAACCTCACTGCTTAGATGAGCTGTCTGCCTACTGACTGACAAGTGGAAGAAAACTCAGCAATAAAATCACCAAAACCAAAATGCAGCACACATTGAAGTCCCTGAAAAACCCTACAAAGCCACAGTGTAAACTGCAGCAAGAGCTAGAG